GGTTAAGTGTAGGTACAAACCCAAGATGATTCAGACAACAACCACTCTTGTTGTCCTTTAGTGCGCTGTCTCTCAGTGTGCCACTGTGCTTTGAGACCTGAGGGAGCCTGACATTTTAATGACCAACCATGAAATCAAGTTTTCTGGCCATGTCAGCAGGACCCCTCCAGAGCAGCCCTGCCCTCCCCACGCTTCCAGCTGTATCCTCGCCTCTGCTGCTTGCAGAGCTCATCCGCTCAGCCCCCCGCTCTCACTCCAGATCTGGCTCAAGGGGCTTTTTTGGGACCTTCAACTGATGCTGCCACTGGCAGCAGAGAAGAAAATCTGGTAGGAAAGGAAGAGTGAGTAAACTTTCCCTCCCTTGGTTCTTCCTTAATCACAAGATTTTTCACCAAAAAAAGGCGAAGAAAAAAGTTTGGCCAGGGAACTAGCAAAAAAACCCTCACAGAGAAAAGCCAGAGACCACATGGGTGCTTTCTAGCAAAAGACAAAGGGATTCGATAAATGAAAGTAGTACCCAGTTGTGCACGCACACCCGCGGCGCCAAGACGTTGCCTCGCACCTGGAGTACTTCAATGGTATTTTTAGGAGGCTTCACGGACATGATAAGCACACGTTAATGACTGAAGGCTTGAATCGTCATTTTGGCACTTTCAGAAACCCTCCCGTGTGGAGTTCAGAATTTGCCAGCCACAGCTATACCTCTAAAAACCTTCTTACAAAGAGCAAGCAATACTGGGGTGAGGGGTGCCAGCGCTGGATGATATTGTACACATCTATTTAAAGAAAAAACAAGATTAAGACCAAAATTCTCTGCCTAGTCTAAGTTTTCCATGGCAAACGTCTGGAGTTAAACCTCCTGCTTTGTCCTTAATTCACCCTGTGCTTGTTCAGCAGATGCAACTCTGCTGGTCTCTGACAAGCGCAATGAAGGGAGTTAGAAAAATGCTGCTGCCATCAAACAGGCACGGGAGGCACCACAGATGAGAAATTTAAGATCAGAAATCAGGCGTTAAGAGGGAAAAGGGACAAGAAGTGCAATAAAAATAATTCAATAAAATGTCTGTTAAATTCTATTTCCCTAAGTCCCAAATGCCCAATTCGTTGTTTTTTTTTTTTTTTAGCAGAACCGCTGGTGAGGAATGGCAGCGAGGGCTGGAGCCCAGCACTGCCGCACTCCCCCATCTGCAAACAAGCGGCACCTCGCTGCTTGAGCTGCCCAAGGTCAGGTAAACATTTAAGAAACCCTACATCAACAACAGAAAAGAACATATCTGAAACATGCCTGTGACATGTTTTTAGTTTGTTTTTTTTTAAACACCAAAACCTGTGCTGAATTTCCTCACATGTAAAAAGCACAGGCGTGTCCTTAAAGATTAGCACATTTTTTTCTACTGTTTCATGCCAAGGTTAGTTTTTAAGGCACTGTGAGGCGCAGGGTGATCGGGTATGAAGAGCACAGCTGCAGACCTAGCCACAGACCTCTGCGTCACACCCAGTGCAGAAAATGTCCCTTAAACTTGCAGAGCCACCGTCCAAACCTGCTGCACGATCCAGTCCCAGGCATCCCGCTCACCAGGTCAAGAATATGGCCAAAAAGTACCCAGAGGTGGCTGGACAGAAGGCAATTTGTGAGAGCTGGTAAAACAGCAGAACCAAAAATAAGCTTAGTTTTTAGTAACAGCAGAGTGAAAAAACCCTGATCCTGTCTATGCTGTTATTTATACTATTTAAGTGCTACAGACTGGTGGGCTGTACAGTTGCAGGTCCATGTATAAGGTTTTACACACCCATATACTAAGTCCAGGACACTGAACTTTAGCCCCACAAAGGCTTTTTAAAAGTGTAACTTTTGTGTTAGTCAAATAATTGCATCCCAAGTGGGTCAGCTATACTGAGTCAACTTTCAAGTAGTTGAAAGGCTGTCTAAGTAGGAAACCAACTTCTACCCTGCTTTTGAAGTTGCATGAAAGAAGTGATGTAAAACAGCTGTCCATAGAGGGATCACAAGGAAATGCTATTTTCTGTGTGGTAATATTGCCACATATTTCTTTGTTTTGAGATGTTACTGCTTTTTGGAAAATAATTAAAATATCCAATGAAAGGATAAAAAGAAAAAAAAAAAAAAAAAAAAAAAAAGCCGAAAGCTGAAGGCGGGAGGTCAATACAGAGAAAGACATACTTCTGCGAAGTCTCAGAAGTTTCCACATTTGAGCAAGAAACTGTGGTATTGCTCCTCTGCTCTGTTTACGGACACTGTAAACATAAACCAGCAACGGGACGGTAACCATTAAAGCAAGTTAATCGGCACCGCTCGGGCACTATCCGGAGTGTCACGGGAACACACAACCCCTCCGCCGCTGAACTCCAGCCCCCGACAAATCCACTCGGCGTGCATTTTACCCAAATAATAGCTGCCGGCTTGGGACTGAATTTATGGAGCCGGCAGTGGGAAGAGTCCTCTTTGTCCAAAGAGCGTTGGGACTGGTACAAAAGAAAACAAGGGCCCACAGAGGAGCAGCAAAGGCATGGCACTGTGGTTATGTACGGGACCTGGGATCACCCACCTCCTCAGAGGTTAAACAGGCTTTTAGAAAAAAGTTGCCCATTTAAAAGCATCAGCACTTTTTAAAAGACTGGGTCTGCAGCATTTCGCCTGGAGAAGATCCAGCAGCGCTGTACTGTACTACTAACGCACAGCGCAGCCTCAGAGAGCACGGACACGGCGGCTTCCAGGCGCACCGGGTTTGTCCCCCTGCTCCAAGGCAGGTTCGACTCCCTTAACTCATTCCCGAGAGGCCTTTATTAACCTCTTCTTGTGAGACAGCCTCCCTGGACAGTCTACTTGAGCTCTGCATTACAGTTAAAAGCGTTTTTCTAATGGCTAATTTAAATTTCCCTTGCCTCACAGCTTGCACCCATCGTTTCTTGTCCCAACGAAGACGGAGAACAGCGCAGCGCTTTCCCATTTTCAGTATGCTTTAAGTGATGCTAGTATGCTTTCCTTGAAGAAAAAGTAAGAAAAAAGAGAATCCCTTGATGTATTTCTGTTGCATAAAAGCATCGAGTTACCCGGCATGATCTAAAGGAAAGTTGAGAAGGTTGCAAAATGTACGTGGAAGCTAAGGAAGGGCATATGAAAGGAGGATGCACATTCTTAAAGACTTACCAGGGAGCTTGCAACCGCTGTAAGGAGATTAATAAAATCCTTGTTAGACCACAGGCAGAATCCCAGGCAGTGTGTTGTAAAATAGGAACTCGGACAAGCAGTAGCGTGCCGCTTGGGACAAGGTGTAAACGTGGGCTTTGTGAGGAGCATCAAGACCCCAAGGTTCCCACTCGCTCCAGTCTGCTTTACGTTGAGTGTTGCACACACACAGAGGAAGACAAGGTCTTTGCCTTCAGATGTTATTGTCTAACTACTGCTTTTGATCTTGTTACCATTCACTCTGTCTGAAGTGTCCAGGTAGTTTAGCAGGAAACTAAATGCCATGTGAAATGAGCTGTATTGGAAGATGCACACAAGTTGCGGTCGTACCTCTCCAGAACTACCCAAACTTGAAACTGTAATAGGCTTCATAGGAGGTAAAAAGCTTCTGAGACAAGAGTATAGGATGGTTTTTTTGTATGCAAGACTGAAATCTCTTATTGGTTACGCATATAAATCAATGGAAATATTATGTCTTTGTATCTGAGAAACCAGGGCAGAAAGTGATTCACCCTCAACAAAAGGACAAAAGAACAGTACACAGGGAGGGAAGGTGGTTCCCAAGAAACAAACTAAGCTTATTACCTGCAAGCAAAAAACAATTGTAAAGACCTTTTATTGGTAAAATGTTAAAGAACGCACAGAGATTTATGTTTACTTATCCTTTTCCTTCTAAGAGAGGAAAAAAAAGTTCAGCAAAGCAGCCCGGGGAGTTATAAAGAAGAAGGAGGTATATTTTGTGGTAAGCCTCAAACAATGTTCCTGCTGTGCGTAGGCACTGAGCTGGAAGAAAATACAATCTCTGATAAAGCAAGAAATTCTGCGAAGACAGCGCTGGCTCCCATAGCTGAGACAGGAATTAAAAAGACCCACGTGCACACACAAACACGCACACACGCACGCTTGCCAGTACAGAGACAGGCGGGACTAGCTATAGATTTTTATCCACATCTAACAAATAGGGCCTGTACTGCTCCCTAAGAAAAGTTTATTTTCACAAAACTTGCACGAAAAAGCACACAGTAAAGCTTATCTGCGTGGGTTAATCAGGTGGGTTTGGGGAAAAATATCTCCCTAAGTTTGAGAGGATTTTAAGTGCGCATGAAGAAAAGCAGCAAAAACACTGGAACATTTGCTTTATCTCCCCATTTTTATCTTCTTTTTTAGATGCTAGTTGACAGACACGCATGCTAGTGTCAGCTGAGAGCCCTAATATCACTGTTCATCATGCGGCTTCTGCAGCCTTGCCTGACTCAGGCATCCCTACGTGACCCCATGGACTCGATCAAGCTATTCTATACCTGACGCAGGAAGAAGGGAAATGTAGAGGGGCAGTTTGTGAAAGAATGAAAATTACCGGGGGTTGGTTTGCACATGCGGACACTTCTCTACTAGCAAATGGCCACGACCAGCTGCCAGTTACAGAAAAGACTCTTGAGAGCCACAGCACCAAAATTTTCAAGCCACGTAGACTTGGCAGCTCTGTATTCTCAAAGGGAGAGGGTGCAGAGTGACTGAATTAAATGGAAAAGACCTTGGGTGGTACATGCTGGGTTCCAGCAGCATGAAATCCAGCACAACTTCAGCAAGGTAAATATGAAATCTCACAAATAAAATGCACAAAAGCACTCAGCCCTTTGCAAAGCACGAGCTGGAAGTATCACTCAAGCATGCAAGAGAACGAAAGACGCTTGTAAAACATTTTTGCTAGCTCTGAAATGCTTGGGTCAGGACTCCTGGGCTTTGTCCTTAACTGCACATCACCTTCAAAAGAAAAAGGAAACATACTCACTCTTTGCAAGCTGCACGAAGCCAAGAATGATGATCAGAGCCAGCGCCAGCAGTTTTGCCGCAGCAAAGGCATCCTGAACACGAGTAGCAGCTTTCACGCTGTAACAGTTCACGGCTGTGAGGAGCACTAAGGGAAACGGAAAAGAAGAGACATGTCAGTTTGCACTGAAACACTTAAAATGCAAAACAAATTATGACCGATTGGCATTTGCTTTTTGCTAAAACTCAAGCAAACGCAAAGAGTCTCTTCCTAAAACAGAAACTTTTCAAAAGCCAGGCTCTGCAGCCACGTACTTCTCTATTCTGCCTTTTGTTTTGTTAACAAGTGGTTTGAATCCACTCCTTGGGACAAGGAACTGCCCCGCTGCATTGGGAAGTACGCTTCTGAGGGCGTGTAAATAACAGTGGTTACTGCAACCGTTAGCATCAAAGCGCCCGGCTGCAATCCCTGTTAAGTCAATCCAATTTAATGCTGCTGTTGGGTGAAAACACAAGACAAATGTCAGGACAAACTGCTAGAGCCGATATATCGTTATTTGTATAACGACAGCACCTAAAAGGCTCTCGAGGCCGCGCCGCGCTGCCCACTGCATAAACATAAAGGAAGAGACGTCCCCGTCCTGATCCCTTCGGCGAGCTGCGAGACAAACAACGCCTGTGGGTCAGCGGCACAGACGGGAAGAGAAGCCGGATCTAAGGAAAGCCTCGTCTGCTGTTTGATCCTCGACCAGCGGTGCCAGGGCCGCTCGCGCAGGCTTTCAGAGATGCTCGCCAGGGCCGCACGCCGCAGCGACGGAAGAAAGAGCTGCACGGAGCAGGCCAGCGCAACGGCTCGAATTTGCTGCGGCTGCTCTTGTGCTTGATTGCACCGCCTTCCTCGTGCAGCGTTTTGCTTGCCCTGAAGCTCCCACCACCGACAAGTTGCTCTGTGGTTCACGCAACTAATGAAGCCTAATTTCCTACTCTTTTTGCTTTGTCCCCCCATCACCCTCCCCTGTATCTCCTGCCACTATGCAGCGTGGCACTCCTACCAGGCGAGGGACAGCGTGAACTAGGGCTTGTCTAAAGCCACACCGCCGCTGACTGCCCGACTTTTACCTGCTTCAGAGAAAATAACAGCTAAAAC